AATCCTAACATATGGTTCAGAGACCTGGACTCTAACAAAAAATAATAAAAACATGTTAGGATGTTCCGAAAGAAAAGTACTACGGCGAATCTATGAAGCAGTGAATGACAATGGAGCGTGAGAACTCTATACAAATTCGAACTTTATAGAATATACCAGGAACCTGATATTGTAAAACATATTAAGATAGGACGTCGTAGGTTGATAGAACAAAATCACCCAGCTAGAGAAACGCTCCTTGATAGACCCATTGGCCAGACAAGAAGAGGAAGACCCAGAGAAAGGTTCCTTGATAATATAGATGAAGACATGAGAAATATCGATGGAGAAAGGTGATGGATAGGGACTAGGAGAAAAATTCTTGGAGGCTAGGACCCACACAGGGTTGTAAAGCCAGAATGATGATGATATATTTTATATTATACGAAATTATAACTTCTAAAATATTTTATATGTGGTTTCGACACCGTATATGTATACAGATTGAACGAGATAAATTCGGAACATACGAAATATATGTGTTTCGGCTCAACTCCGCTCTAGGTGGTTGGCCAACAAAAGGTTGTCAAATAATTATATTATAAAAATCCAATACTTCAGCGGGCTGCTGGATTCTGAACTCATTCAAGAACAAGTCAAAACTCCACCCAAATAGGTTGCCCCGCCCATCACGTATAAAAATTGAAAGCTACACATAAATCTAGGATTTTATTATGCTGTCAAACCACATATCGTTTCTTAAAGCCAGCCACTCACGGTACAGCGGTGTCGTTCGACATAATCGGACAGCGGCGTTGTTCAATTTGTTGGTATATCTGGCGCGTTCACACACCATACCGCAGTATTTGTTCGGTTCTCGACCATGTCAAATCAAACAATCATCTTAACGTCTCTTACTTTGTGTATAACTAAGCGTAAAAAGAAACCTAAAATAAAACATAGATTCTGGTGCAAAGAATCGCAAGATTTTGTTGCAAAATAAATCTCGTCTGCCCCTGCACCCGATTTAGTGGACTCCAATGCTAATTTTAATTCTCTCTTATAGGATGTTCTAAAATTGTTAATTTTTTTTTCTTACATACTCTTCATTCGCATCTTTGTTTACTTCTTGGAACTTTAAAACTAGAATGTCCATTGCCTGTTTTCGGGCGTTTCTATCGTGATACGTTTTACCTTTTATTCGCTATAAGCATTTTTGTTTTTTATATAATTCAAAAAACTCTCTTAAAAAATTCTCGCTAAATCAAGCCATGTCGATTTTCTATAATATGATCAAAGCAAGTGTGTAGTTAAAAATGTATTTTTGCAGTATCGACAAATTGTAAACGGTCACACACGCTCAACAAATTGATGAGATCAACTCTGCAGTACTGCAGCAGACAGGCCAGTCTGTCTGCGGTCAAATTGTACGATTTCATTGGATGCACGGTCACACACGATCAAAATCCTTGTCAATTCGTCGAACTCGACAAAGTTGAACAACGCCGCTGTATGTTGTAAGCAGCCAGATGGATATTTTGAGCCGTGTTGCCAATCTCATTCCTCTAGATGTTTCTCAAATAAGGTGTTAACCATAAAATATTTACAGGAAAGAAAGGAAATAACTACAAACCATTAAGTTTATTTTTGTTATTAGTCTGTTGTAGTAGATTGGTAAATACAATGAAAAATATATGAAAATATCCGATTTATTTAAAGATACGAAGAAGATATAACTCTCAAAAAGATCCGCAAATCGGATTATTACACGGCGATTGGCAACATTGACTTTGGAAGGCACTATAGACTATGGTGCGTCCTAAAAGGAGACAGATAGTTGAACGATATTTTATACAATGTCTTACCACTGGGTATGGATTTATTTTTGTCCAAGTTTAATATTGGTCCACTATTTCAAATGCAATTCAAACAGACATATATTAAATTGTATGGTCCGTTTTAAATTCGTTTAATCTGTATATAGCGGTCGCGGAACTGGAACCGATGCGAAATTATCAATTAAAAAGCAATGGATTACTATAAGGTTATTGCTAAAAACTCTTCGGGATTTTCTAAAATAGATTTTTAAGTTTAATTTGATGATTGCTAATCTTAAGAACACTAATTTTTCGCTGAGAAGACCTTACATTGTTTATAACCCGAAAACGATGAATTTAAGAGGAAAGTAACATTTAAGAATATTTTTTGCTCAGAATGAGCCAATTACCTAAAAAAACTTGTCATGGTTATGGTGTTATGGTCAAAAAAATTTAATTTTACATGTTTAAAAGAAATTCCTTAAATCATTTTTGATTATCATTTTCTCTTGGCAATATGTACTTAGAAGACTATTTCAAGTAAGATTGTACAATTATATGAAATATATTTTTCCTAGCCAGTGTGTCCATACTACCCGGAATATTATTTAAATATGCGAGACAAATTCAATTAGTGAATTTAAACTTTAAGAAGTTATAATTTCTTATCATATGATATTATAATATAATAACATAACATATTAAGTTCAACGTTCATACGATTTTATGTTTATGTTATTTTTTTTTTTTAGAACTCAAAAACTCAAATGTAATATATTGAAAAATTGTTTATAAATAATAATTTAATACTGTTTATAAATAATATTTATTTAATATAATTATAGTTAAAAAAAATTAAAAAATAACAATAAAAAGGTGATTTAAGAAAAGATTGTATATTTCGTAGTTATTAGCTCCTTTGTTGTGGATCACTTGGCAATGATAATACGATAAGTGTTTAATATTATTTAGTGTTTAATATTATTTTAACGTTTTACCCTAGATTAAAAAAAGAAAGAGCAAAGTTAGTCCAGTAGAATCCGAGATATGTAATTTTTTTTCGAGCGCACCATTTTGAAACCGTGTCCAATTTTTTGGAGAACGCGGCTGGCCCATCATTCTGCTACCCCCACTACTTTTACTATAGTCGAAACGCAAAGTACTTTTTGTGTTCAATGTTCAAAGTGTTAACCCTCCTGTTAACAATTTTCAATCATTTTGTTTGCTAAAAGTTTTGTTAAAAACTTTGACTTTTCTCATAATATATTTGTTAAATTCATCCCGTAATGTTGTTAATTAACGTAAGTGATTTAAAAAAGGGCCTATAATGCCTCCTAAGGGTAGTAGGCTTCTTTTATTTTCTAAAAATTGTATTGTTTAACCAGCTTTCCGAATATTTTTTCCCATTTAATTTGAACTAAATAAGTTCAGGTACATTTAAACAAATTTTAATAAACAATAAAAAATTATTATCAATATTTACAAACAGCTATTTTATTGTTAATTTTGCAATAATTTTTGTATTTATTAGCCGATTTTAATTTAGCATATCTCATTTTGTATATTTTTTTTTCTAAAAAAGTTGTTTGTTGACGTCAAATCTCTAAATAGATAAGTTTTTAAGTTGTAAGCAAAATAATGAGTTTAACCTTTTAATTGTTCATTTAAAAATAGATCCACTAAAAAATTGATAAATCCCTGGCTTTTAGTACTATCTCAAACCTGTCTATAGAGTTGTGTCCAGTGAAAAACTATTTTAAGGCCTATAGGCAATTTTCTTGCATACCATCTTTCCTCGAGGTGTAATAAGTGTAGTTCGGGACAAGAAAGAATATCCATTCACCACTACATTCTCTTCAATATTTTCCTGCGAGGTGGCCTATAAGGACTTTCGGTGTCTTCTTGGTTGTTTTTACTTGTTTTTGATTCCCAGTTCTAATGGTTGGGGTGTTGTTGCTTTCCGTTGGTTAATCCATTATGGTTGACTGCCTCTGTGTCCTTAAATTCAGTTTTAACTAAGCGACCAGTTTTTCAGTCTGTGTCTCTCTACGTAGTCACAGAAAAGTCAGATGGAGTATACAGTTTAAGAACAGAGATACGGTGGTGAATCTTGGGAGCCGGCAAAAATTCAGAAATTTTTCTAGGTAGTCGGAAAGCGGTCTTGCTGTCTTTCTTCCAAAGGATTTTGATTATCATGTTTTAATGCACATACGTGAAATATTTACCATAATGATAAATTAATTTCTGGCCATATAGGCCATATTTGTCATTTCTGACATTATGGAAAAACGTACTTTTTATCGGTCTGCTACTTATACATGCAATTGTGTATAGCCAACGAACATGGAAGCTTGTCGAAAGCTAACGCTTATGCAGACGATAAAGAGTTTTGTAACTCGCTTTAGTTTTTACACTAAATTACAAAAATAAATATAAGAAATTCATAGTTACACATAAAATATACTTTTTTTTGTAGGCAACTATATCCTGATTTATTTTATGTACTTTTAAGAGTTTAGTCAAATTTGTCATGCACCCAAAAAAATCGCATCATAAATACATTTATTTATAATAGCAGTCGATATTCGTGACTTTATCAATTATGCTTTATTTTGATTAAAGCCACAAACTAGTTGATTTTTATTTCGGTGTAATCATCAGCGTCAATTTTGTAAAACACGTAAGAAACTTACGTCAAAGATTCAGTTGTATCTGATAGGAGAGTATAAGATTACATAATATATTCAGCCAATAATTCAATTTTATTACAATATCGTAATGGTTAGACTAGTACATAATTAAAAAAATTAATAAAAAAGATTATTTGATGCGGGATTTTATCCTCCAAATAATTATTATCATGTGTGTCGCTCGCCCAGAGCTTCATTTTAAAAGCACTTCCACAAGTTTATATATGAACTGTACAAAAATTGATTGGCGTCTCTATTGACCATGTTACAAAGCTTGTTTGTTCATAGCCGGACATTGTCTGAATCCGGGGACACTTTTTTGTTGAGTGATGGCTTTTGAGGGCAAAAAGCTGTATTTTACGTGAAATATGCAACATAATGATAGATTAGATTCTGGCCATATCGGCCATGTCTGTTATTTTTACCATTATGGAAAACATACTTTTGATTTGTGCATTTTTATAGTAGGAAAGATTATTTGAAGTTATTATATTGCAATATTTTGATGTTTTAGAGAATTGGGTGGATGTGTAGCCAAAGACCACCACGACTTCACACACTTAGTAATGCCGCAACTTGCCCGTACTAACAAACTCTTCTTCGCCATCTCCAAGGAAGCATATGTGGTGTCGGAACATTGGGTGAGGGAATCCCACGAATCGAATCAATTTCTACCAGAAAATAAGTACGCTCTCCATTCCAAAGACTTCAACTTCGAATACAAATGTGATATAGACCAAACGTTTCAAACCCGTAACAGGAACAGGTTGTTCGAAGGGAAGTTCTTCTTCGTAACTCCAAGTGTGTTTCCAAGTAGGCAAGTTGTTGTGGAGCTTATACAGAATTGTGGAGGAATCGTGGAGAAACATAGGCGCAGTTCTTCGCAAGTCGAGGCAACTACACTCAACTCCCCTTATAGTTACTTTATTATAACACACGAAGATGATCTTCATCTCGTTGCTGACTTGCTGCGAAATAAAAAGGATAAACTGAAAGTAGTTTGTAATGTAGAACTAATTTTTAGCGCTATCTTAAAACAAACGTTTGAAGTTGAACCTTACGCTGTATGTGTGTTATGATTTTCTGATGATTCTAGTAATGAAGACGATTTGGATTACTGAATATGCCAATATTGTCCATATTTTTATTGCTTACATGTATCAGTGGATGAAATTGGGCCAAATTTTCAAATTTTTTTGACACGTTAAGTGCTGACAACTAACGATTATTCCAAAACTAAAGAGATTATATTTTAAATATATTGCCTGGCAACTTGCTTGTGGTTGGTTGTAACACTACCAGTTTTATCCAAGAGAAATTCGGGTAACGAAAACTCAATTGTCATTTGTAATTCAGGTTGTACTTTTTATTTGGTATAAGTACTGGCAGTACTTTTTCGTAGACATGTATAGAATAATTTATTGGTGAATTTTTTATTGCAAAAATACCACCACTGAATTAGAGTATTCTCAGTATAAAAGTTTATTTATTAATAACGAAGTAAGAAAATCTTACTGGAGATAGTGCTTCTATCGTTCGCTGCTCTTACGTACAAAAACTCAATACTGCCTCTTCTTAGTCTGAGGAATGGTAATATGCCCATCTTTTACATTATTACCTATGCTTTTTTGCTTTAAAACGTATGGTGTTTACAGTACATCGTAGGCACTGTCTATGAGTTTCTAGACACCAGTGCCCACTGACGCCCCTGTCGTCAGGATTGAAATATCAATAAAATCGTCCTAACTATGTTTATTACATGTAAAAATGACATGTATTATATTGTAAAAATCATAAAAAAGTTTACTTACAAGTGATCAAAAATAAAAAAAAATATTCCTTTATAGCACAATGCAAAAAAGTCCAATATTAAAACCTAAACTGAAAGAACGAAAGGAAAATAAAGATCAATATCACTGTGGTATGCTCCAAAATAAGGCTTTAAATATAGCACTGGTGAGGCTGGACACTTTCTGCAGTAATACATAATATCTTTGCGAATTCACTGCTTCGAGCACCAAAAACATAATTTTCGCAGTTGAAGTTTTCATCCGTTTCGCACTTCGATGGTAGGCGTAGCTCTGAATCTTCTTCTTCATTAGAATGGTTTGTTTCCCGTCGGTTAAATATGACAACAAAATGTCTGTGATTCATTGTCAAAAATTAAGAAATGACATTTTTCTTGCCGAGTATTTATTATACAATATGTACGCATTGTACAACATCATTTCAATTATGTATATACCGACTTTTTTTGTACCAACGAATGGTTTTCCTTTGCGATAGATACTATGATTTGATCTTAAAAATCAATGCCCGACATGTATTTGTTATACTAACCTACGGGTGTCGGTTTAATTTTTATATTTCTAGACGTGGAGATGAGTTCTGTCATGCATACTCAGTAGAAATATAAATGACTTCTTGTTTGTCTTTCCTACACATACAGTCCCCCATAAAGTTCCCGTACAGTAGGTACTCTTCTCTAGCAATTGTCTTGCGAGACCTTTTGTTTAAAAAAGAAAATTTGTTTAATTTACTATTGTTTGTATTTTGAGAACGATTTCCGAAGTGGAAATTGTAACGTCAATAAACTTACTTTAACTTTTAATTGTGGCTTATTCTCATTTAAATAGTAATTCCGATATTATTACTTCGTCGTGTTCTCATCTTAATGCCCCTAACATTAGCAATTGCTGTTGCTTCACAGTAAACTTGCATATGTAAATATTCCAATGTATGGGCTTGTTTTAATTGGGTAGGACTTAAGTGTTTACAATTTGTAACAGCGCACCTAGTTTCATACAAGTTTATTTTTAGTATCGGTGATCTGCTTACTGGGTTTCTTGTATGTACTTGTAAAGTATATACCATTTCACTTACCATGCTATCGTGCAACTCATTGTTATGATGTTGAGTTTCTTGTATGGCAAGTTTAGGAATCTGTTGATGTATTTCAACTTGATCTACAACTACCTCTTGGTTGGGAATCTCCCGTTCGACTTCGCTTGATGGCATTGCGTTCAGTTTATGTGATAAGATTGTTATAATTACCCGGTATTGCTCTGCTACTCGCTGAATAGATACTTGAATCTCTGTGGTCCTCTTGCATAAGTCGACATACGCATGTTGCTGTCAACAGCCAATCGTTTCTTGACCGAGGTTTCTACCCTTGTATTAGGAGCGCAAAATATTTTCCTTCGTGCACTTTCGTTCATTTTTTACTATTCTTATTATCTGTTTATACGGAGTGTTCATTCCTTGGTATGTTTGTGAGTCAAGATATTCTATTTTCGTTATTAATAAATAATAATATTAATTGATTATTAATAAAATTTTTATGAAATTCATTTTGTTCTTTTTTTATGAGATTTTAACTAAAATTGATTAAAATTCAAAAGGAAATATCTGCTTTTAATTTGTACATATAAGGCCTTCTCCTTTTTGAACATTTTTAAGTTGTCTTTTTAATAGTAGAGTAAATACCTATATAAACAGAAAAATCTGGTGAGAGTTTTTTTTTAAATTTTGAAGTTGTAAATGAAGTATTATAAATGTGGTATCTTTAGTTTTGGAACAAATCATTGAGCCTATGTATGATGCTTTGATAAATTCTATTCTTTTTACTCTATTTTTTTTTGTTTTTTATTGTTACATTATAAAAATATTTAAAAGAACGTCTTTATTATATTTCTATCTCATTTTCAAAACCTTTATTCATTATATTAAAATTTTTATATTTTTTGGTTACATATTTTAGTTTTGATGAAGTAACAGACATGAATAATTTTATTTAAATTGTTTTAAGTGTTTCATGCAAGAAGTTACAATTACTAAACTATTATCGACTCATCAAATACCAATAAACAAAAGTTTTAGAATACAGTAAACTTATGATTAAGAATCATAAGAATAAAAAATAATAATTTACCAGATACAGGGTTAGGCATCAAAATGAACACTTTTGGATTTACACAAATATTTCGTGACTTCGGTCTTCTGACTGCCTAGATCACTTTGCTATACACGCACAGCACTATTGCATTTCTTCTGCCCATATAGTACTTTTATACTGTCAATGGCGATGTGGTAACTAGTGTAGAATGGCGCGAACTTTTTTGAAGACAGCACTGGGTAGATGGAAGAAATGGGCCGAATGCCGTCATCTACTTTGTTCAGAAAATCGAATACAGTTTCGGTTTATGAAAATATATGGGGCAATATATCTGAAATTTTTAAAAGCAATTTTACGACCACTTTGCAGATGATGCTGAGCGGACAGAAATAGAGAAGAAATTGCAAACTAAAACGGAATGTCCATTTATTCTATATTGAATTTTTCAGTTGGTTTGACCTATTTAAGAATAATTGTTGCAGAATCTTTGTTGGGATAAAACTTTTGTCGGTGTTCTAGTTTCTTTCATGAACATTTCAAACATTTTATTAAATATTGTACATAGTACTGCCGTATAATTGTTAAGCTCTATGTATATATGTATTTAAACGGGTAGTTAGCTATAGTCATTTCCAAACCTATTGAACCGTAGACCTTAGTGTACAAAATAAGCAGAGAGATTTTGACGGAAACGAATTTGTGGATTTGCTCCTTATTGAAGTCATTTCTAAGTTTCATATTTGTCATAAATATTCAGTATCCTTTGATTATATATGTTTCGTTTAATTATATGTCAGATTCTTTGCGTCTCAGTCTTAATATTTTCGTCACAATAAATATATTTCCTACTTATTCTTTCTTTTGTTAATTGCTTTCTATTTCTATATGATCTTTCTTGTATAAATAACTTTGGCTTTACAACCTGTAAGAACTGTTCTTAACGTCAGTTTTTATCAAATATATTGTTGGGAATAAAGGAAAAATAATAAAATACACCAATTTGACGTATTAGATCATAAGCTGTTTTCAAAATACAATTAACTGTTTATTTAATTCAAAAAGTTTACCAGTAGATGGCGCTAATGGGCAATAAGATACGCTGCTGAGAGGGTGAGGAGCAAATTCTGTCGTTTTAATTTTTCATTTAGCCGTTAAGAAGCTCCGCTTCAAACATTGCATTTTAAAAACAATCCTAAACCCGAGATGTGAAACAAAAAGATATTTTTTTAATTGTGGTTTATTTTCAACAAGCTAAGAAATTCTATAAAAATATTATTACTATTACTGAAAAACAAATTATGAAACGATTTAACTTGTCGAACAGCTCTCTAATTTTCATAGTTCATTTTTTCTACTTTTTTTTGGTAAAGTTTCATGATTTTTAGCAACTTTTTACTCTGTTTCTACATGTCACATCAATATTTCATGCTCGATCTTAGTTCGGAAACATAATAAAGTGCCAAACAATAAATTCGTGGACAAAATTAAAGTACTGCTTAATTAAAATTTAAATAAATAAAATTAGAAACAAGAATAAATTATATCGAAAACAATTCATTTGAGAAAGAAATCAGCGAAGTAACCTGCACAATTGCATGCCAATATCATCCAGCTACCGTCAATTAAAGTATATGCCTATGCCTTAACTGATCGTCTTGTGTCTGGCGTGCACATAGATTTCACATTTGATTTTTTTATGCTAGGTGGGTGGTAGTCGAATACAGTTAACATGCTTGGAGAATTGGCAGTTACTGGCATATGATACACCAATTACTGACTATATATCTTTCTCTTTGGACGTGATGTGCAGTAATCCAATAAACATGATAATCACAGCTGTCCTAAATAGTGGAGTTGAACTAATATTAAACCATTCTCTTACATTTTCAGCCAAGAAATTATCCATCTTCCTTGCGCTTTCCCTTTATCTCTCCTTTCATTATTAGACGTAGCATTTCATATTTAGGTCCCTTATGTGATCAAAATACTCCAGTTTTTAACTTTTTCACTGCTCATATTATTTACCAATATTTGTTCATTCTTCGCAACACATTATCATTATTTTTAATACAGTCTATCCACGGTATACGCAGCATTCTACTGTAGCACCATTAGTCGAATACTAGTAATCGCTAGTAGTTAAAAATATAGGCAAGAGTTATTTTCAAATTACTTCTGGCTGGCATTGCATTTCGGATATAGATATTTTATTAAGTTTTATTTCCAATGTTTACTAACAATCCATTCAATATTTCAGGAATTATTTATAAATGGTCTCTATAACCTTCTCTTTATGTTTTGGTGTTATTTCTCTAAATAACTATTTCTTTATAATTTTCTAGACTGCTATTGTAATCTTTTATCCAAATGTGTTTTAATGTTTTATTCCTTGTAGATCACAATAATTTGCCTACATATTCTTTGCATTCAGTTGCGTTAAATTCACTTCATATACTTTGCATAATTGGTTTTCCTGTCATACATTCAAAATTTTTAAATACTTACAAAACTAAACAGACAATTAATACACTCTCAAAAAGTCCATGCATACCCACGCTTGTGGGTGGCGAATTATGTACCAAAAGATATGATTGCCTATCTTTTAAAAGTCTGGCTTCGTTCACACTACAACATGTATCGACCTAGATCGGGTAGTTGTAGAGGCGAAATCGACCTAGGTCGGGTAGTTGTAGAGGCGAAATCGACCTAGGTCGGGTAGTTGTAGAGGCGAAGAGAGAAAGGCAGTATTATTAGTCCAGCTTACTAAACAATGTAGTCACGCTATGTAGTGCCATCTGATTTAAATGCCATAAAATAGATACCACTGTGTCTTAACTACGTAGCAACTGCTAAAATATTTGAAAATTATTTATTAGTGTGTCTAACAATGCTGGTTTTTTCCGTCAATCTAACCATGTTTTTAC